ATACGCTCACTCACTCACACATCATACACTGACTCACTCACTCATCACACGCTGACTCACTCACACATCAGACGCTCACTCACACTACCACTGACTCACTCACACATCATACACTCACTCACTCATCATACGCTCACTCACTCATCATACGCTCACTCACACTACCACTGACTCACTCACACATAATACACTCACTCACACATCAGACGCTCACTCACACTACCACTGACTCACTCACACATCATACACTCACTCACACATCATACGCTCACTCACACTACCACTGACTCACTCACACATAATACACTCACTCACACTACCACTGACTCACTCACACATCATACACTCACTCACACTACCACTGACTCACTCACACATCATACACTGACTCACTCATCATACGCTGACTCACACATCATACACTCATTCAAACATCATACACTCACTCACACATCATACACTGATTCACTCACACATCATACACTGACTCATTACACATCATACACTGACTCACTCATCACACGCTGACTCACTCACACATCATACACTGACTCACTCACATCATACACTGACTCACTCACACATCATACACTGACTCACTCACACATCATACACTGACTCACTCACATCATACACTGACTCACTCACACATCATACACTGATTCACTCACACATCATACACTAACTCACTCACACATCATACACTCACTCACACATCACACGCTGATTCACTCACTCATCATACGCTGACTCACATCATACACTCACTCACTCACACTACCACTGACTCACTCACACATCATACACTGATTCACTCACACATCATACACTGACTCACTCACACACCATACACTCACTCACACATCATACACTGACTCACTCACACATCATACACTCACTCACACATCATACACTGACTCACTCATCATACACTCACTCACACATCATACACTCACTCACACATTACACGCTGACTCACTCACACATCATACACTGACTCACACATAATACACTGACTCACTCACACATCATACACTGACTCACACATCATAAACTCACTCACACTACCACTGACTCACTCACACATCATACACTGACTCATCATACACTGACTCACTCATCACACGCTGACTCACTCACACATCATACACTCACTCACACATCACACACTGATTCACTCACTCATCATACACTGGGAGTGTCATGCTGCTAGCTATGACTGCAAGTTTGGTCGTTCGTGTTATGTATATCGTTTATTGTTAAACTTGAATCACACTCCCTATGATTACTGTTGTTACATTGTTTATAGCTTTATTTTGGTGATTCTAAAACACATGGTTAATCTAAATTGTCTTTTGTTTTGTTTTGTTAACTTGCACCACATTGGGATTTTTGCACACAGCGTTTTAATAATTTTTTTTTGGAATATTTGCTGGTTTATTCCAGGATGTTTCTGTTACGTGTCGTCACTTTAAGAAGATGTTCTGTGTTCATCTTTGTTTGTTGCTGTTGCACCCGACTTAAGAGCCGCATGGCTCACAGGGCTACACCAAATACATGGAACTTGAAAAACTTGAAATCGGACGAGATCCAGAGTCGCCAGATATGTTGAAGTCTGTCTTGAAAACTCGCCTCTTCAAGCTGCTTGCCTCTCTGGCTGACAAGCCCGTTATTATTAGTATTGCTACTACTGCAGTATTATTGGTCATCGTCCATCCAGCATCCTTTGATGATAATTGAAAAAAATCAATGATATGCATATTCTTAGGGTTTTTCGGTAAAGTCACGTAGGTAAAAAATTAAAATTAATAAAAGTAAAAAATAAAGACGGAAGCTTGTGTTGCCTCCGAAACGTCGTGATTTTTATTTTATTTTTTATTTTACTTTTATTAATTTTAATTTTTTACCTACGTGACTTTACCAAAAAACCTGAGAATATGAATCCTTGCAGTCACGAAAGCTTCAAATCTAGAAATGAGATGCATGTTGAACTTCTTTCGCACCGTACGCAGCCAACCGCGATAATCGGCAGGACAAAGAACTAATGTAAACAAAGACCGCAAGTTTTATTACAATGTTTTTTATTGCAAAATACCGTGTTTATATAAATACATATACATATAAATGTACAGGGAATATTTATCTTATCTCCTCTCTCTCCGAAAGCTCCAACGCGTACCTATGGAGCCAGAGCGATGGAGACAGGGAGAGGTTGTTTACGTGTTGAGGTATACAGGTGATGGTAATAATTGTAACAGGAATAATCATCAGCATCATCATCATCATCGTTATTATTTACACCGTGTACTGTATATGTGCTAGCACGAGTATCCCACACAGACTACAGGCAAGGGTGACTCCAGCACTCCAGTTAGCCCCAAGACCCATCACCAGTCCCCGTCTCTGCAAGTTTAACCGATCCCTCTCGCTTTCAAATGCCAGTTAAGTAGTTTCATGATGCGCGCCGCACTTGCCTGATGATTGCTAAACACGTCTCGCCGTGGAGGCGGGGCTGGGCAGCACCAATTTTGAATTGCGATATTTTGAATTAGTTCTGCACATGTCTGGTGATTGTTAAACGCGTCCCATGTCCCACGAAGAACGCTGACTCAAAGGTTGAGAGGATATCGATTTGAATAGGCGTTACGTCACTAGGGACACACACGTACACACATGCACACACACACACACGCGTTCTCCATCAATTTGAATCAGCTCTCTGCCCGTGGGACGAGTTTAACAAGCATCGGGCGCGTGTCGCGCGTAACAACTCAATTTACATCTGAACGGAGACCTTTTTTAAAAATAAAAAAAGCCGTGTTAAGCGGATCATACTACGGCCGCAAAAAACTGGAGTTTAAGAAACCTTGGAGGAGGGGCGGGGCGGCGGAGGAGGCGCTACAGATCACGATTAATTAATTCGCAGCAACAATTAAAAATAAAATTATATCGGATCTCGACTCGCGTCTGATAAACCGCCGTGGCCACAACAGGGCAAGATTTCGGCCGTGCGAAACGAAGCCGCGGGGTCGATTGCAGAGCCCGCGGGGCCCACGTGTTCCACAAGCGATGCCCACGTGTTCCACAAGCGATGCCCACGTGTTCCACAAGCGATGCCCACGTGTTCCACAAGCGATGCCCACGTGTTCCACAAGCGATGCCCACGTGTTCCACAAGCGATGCCCACGTGTTCCACAAGCGATGCCCACGTGTTCCACAAGCGATGCCCACGTGTTCCACAAGCGATGCCCACGTGTTCCACAAGCGATGCCCACGTGTTCCACAAGCGATGCGCACGTGTTCCACAAGCGATGCCCACGTGTTCCACAAGCGATGCCCACGTGTTCCACAAGCGATGCCCACGTGTTCCACAACCGATGCCCACGTGTTCCACAACCGATGCCCGCGTTGACACGGCGAGCGCCACGACACCGGCTCCCAATCGAGCGCGTTTCTTCCCCGATGAACGTCGCCTCGAGCGCGTCTCGCCTCGCGCGGACAGCGACGTTATCGTCGAAGCAGGCAGAGCCGGCGAAACGAGTGCAGCAACGAACAGACACGGGGTGACGCACCTGAGAGGAAGACCGCAACGAAAGACGCGTGCCCCGGCTGGAGATGAAAAGTTGCACAAATCTGGTCGGATTATAAGACGCACTCCCCCTCCACCCCCCCAAACTTTTGCTTCACAACACACGGGGCGGAGGAAGTGTGGGGGGGAAAAAGTGGCGTCATCTCGAATCTGGAGAATCGGGTCGTGGTATCGTTCTATCGAGGCGTGTCGTCTCGCGGGTTGACGGATCACGGGAAGATCACAACCGCGTGCTGCGAAAGTCCGGACTCGCTGAGCTGTGGGAGTTGGCGCGAGCAGGTGGCAGTAGAGCAAGTGGGTCCCTAGGCCCATCCCGTGCACGCGACTGTTGTGGCAGGAACAACTCCGCAATTCCCCCCCTCGCCCGCCCGCCCTCCCTCCGTCCCCGAACCTGCCGTCGCAACTGAACACGCGGAAAATAAAAAAAAATCGACCGACGACGCCGCTCGCTCGCTCGACAATATTTTTTTTTAACAAAACGAGAAAAAAATGATTTTCCAACAGTTTTTCCAACGGACGGCAGAACGTGTCTTGAACGCGAGCCTTGGGACTCGGTGACATTCGGTGATGCGTAACGGATCATTAACAGCCATTCCAACACACACACAGACGTAGCGTTGCTATCGATGACATGTATCAACTCTCCAGGAGCGATCTCGGGATTCTGTAAGGATTCTGGGTTTTGTATTCGCACGCCAGAGCCATACGTACACCTCCACTACAACCTCCACCACCTCCACCACCTCCACCACAACTTCCACCACCTCCCCCACCACCTCCCCCACCACCTCCACCAACCTCCATCAGCTCCATCAACCTCCACCACCTCCACCACCTCCACCACCTCCACAACCTCCACAACCTCCACCACCTCCACAACCTCCACCACCTTCACCAACCTCCACCACCTCCACCACCTCCACAACCTCCACAACCTCCACCACCTTCACCAACCTCCACAACCTCCACCACCTCCACCACCTCCACCACAACTTCCACCACCTCCCCCACCACCTCCCCCACCACCTCCACCAACCTCCACCACCTCCACCAACCTCCACCACCTCCACCACCTCCACCACCTCCACAACCTCCACCACCTCCACCACCTCCACAACCTCCACAACCTCCACCACCTCCACAACCTCCACAACCTCCACCACATTCACCAACCTCCACAACCTCCACCAACCTCCACAACCTCCACAACCTCCACAACCTCCACCACCTCCACCAACCTCCACAACCTCCATCAACCTCCACCACCTCCACCACCTCCACCAACTCCATCAACCTCCACCACCTCCACCACCTCCACCAACCTCCACCACCTCCACCACCTCCACCACCTCCACAACCTCCACCAACCTCCACAACCTCCACCTCCTCCACCTCAACGATTCCAATGCCCTGCCGTAGTTGTCGCCTAGGGGACCCCCCCCCCCCCGATGGCAGCTGTCCCTGTGCGTCTCGAGGTGAACGGCAGCAACCCCGGCCTGCAGCTGGGGCATTAGCCCGTCTGTAAGGCTGGGATGGCACGAAGCCTCCACAGCTGCATTTCCCCCAGTATATGTACCATCAGCATCAGCAGTAGCATCATCATCAGCAGTAGCATCATCATCAGCCATGATCAATCAACTGCTGGATGAAAGCCTCCCCAAGCCAGGAAACAGTGGTCACCAGTCGAAATGCATGGATGGACTGCGTCTCGTCACGGTAATGTGGAATGTCCACCACTGGTTCAGTGTCCGCTCGGGACAACCTCCTATCTCAAAACCCAGCTCAGCGCTACCAAACGGTGGGCGGATCTGGACTCTACGACAGATTCATGCTGAATGGAACCCATCACGTGGATTGGATGGGTCTCTTGCTGCCGATGATTCCCGTGGAAGTGAAAACCAACCCAGAAGTTTAGCTGATTAGAATGAGGATCTGTATTTATACCGGATGTATACTGTGGAGCTCTACTTCACAGATGTCCAGTAGCTTTATCCATGTCCGGTGGGCTGATGGATTCATGAGCGCCTGACTCGGGCCAGATCAGGAGAGATGGTGGCTGGGAGATGTTAACTACCTCGCCTGGTATACAGGAGGTCATGGGTACAATCACGACCCTGACGCCTGCTGTATATTTGGAGTTTGCGTGTCTCTCTCTCTCATCATCATCACGGTGGCTAGGATATGTTAACTACCTCGCCTGGTATACAGGAGGTCGTGGGTTCCATCTCGACCCTGACGCCTGCTGCATATTTGGAGGTTGCGAGTCTCTCTCTCTCTCATCATCATCACGGTGGCTAGGAGATGTTAACTACCTCGCCTGGTATACAGGAGGTCGTGGGTTCCATCTCGACCCTAACGCCTGCTGTACATTTTGTGTTTGTGTGTCTCTCTCCCCATGGTCGCGTGGATTTTTCACCGGGTCCTCCGCTTTTGTCCCTCTACATTTAAAATCAACATCACGTGTTCAGAGTATTTGGCAGCTAAACATTTCCACGTGATAAGCCACTCCCTTGCGCTATCATTTGTGGCCAGGTCGCTTCTGAAAAAGAACTACGCAGCTCAATGGGCTCTTCCCCGGGTTAAATTACAAGCGATTAATAGATGAATAGACTGTTGGGTTCCTGGAGAGGTGTATAGAGTCAGGCAGAGACCCCAGATCGATTTGGACGAGAGTCATCACAATAGAGGTGGAGACGAGAGAGACTGGGAGGGAGAGACGTAGGATGGAGAAAGTCACGCCGGACAGCCGTGAAGGAGAGAGGAGTCACAGAGAGTCGGGCAGAATCGCGGAGAGTCACGGACAAACACCCCGGCAGCGCCAATCTCGTCACAGCGCTAAGGCCGGCATGTGGCCGTGAATCGACCCAGCGGCAATCGGGATGCAGCCCGCGGGAAGCGCGTGTGGCCGCTGATGCTGCTGCTGCTGCTGATGAAGATGCTGCTGATGATGCTGCTGCTGCTGCTGCTGATGATGCTGCTGCTGCTGCTGATGATGATGATGATTCTGATTATGGGATGCCGGCACAACGCCGCCGCCGACGCCGCCGCCGCCACCGCCGCCGACCAACGCCGCGGCCGCCGCGGCCGCCGCCGCTGCCGCCGCGGCGGCCGAGAGGGCCGCGGGCCTGTGCCTCGCGGACTTCTGGTGGGCGCGCAGGCCGGCGAGCTGCGAGTAGGCGCTCTGGCACACGTGGCACTTGTAGGGGCGCTCGCCCGTGTGCAGGCGCACGTGGTTGCGCAGCGTCGACGACTGGCTGAAGCGGCGGCTGCAGAAGCGGCAGGCGAAGGGCTTGTCCAGCGTGTGGATGCGCATGTGCGAGCGCAGGTTGCTGCGCGAGTTGAATCCGCGGTGGCAGATGACGCAGCGCAGTTTGCTGCCCCCGCCACCGCCGCCGCCACCGCCGCCGAGGTTGCTGCTGTTGCTGCTGCTGCTGCTGAGGCTGATGCTGCTGCTGCTGGCGCTGCTGCTGATGATGAAGCCGCCGCCACCACCGCCGCCACCACCTCCGACGCCGACACCTTGGCAGTCGAGAAGTTGGAGTTCGTCTGTTGGGGTCGGGGGGGGTGGATCGGGATAGATATGAAGTCACGGGTCGTGTGATGTGAAGTCACGGGTCATGTGATATTATTGGCAGACGGATACAAGAACATATGGAGAGATGGACGGACAGGCAGACAGTCGGACCAGCAGACAGACTGGCGGACGGACGGACGGATGGATGGATGGAGACACGGACAGGGAGATATAATCGACGGAGTGACATGCAAACAGATCGACGGAGGGGGAGATCGATGAGCAAGCAGACAGGGAGACAGACAGAGAGACTGATAGATGGACAGGCAGACGGATCGACAGACAGATGGACGGACGGAGATACAAATAGACGCGTTGACAGACGGTCATGAATATTCCATTTCTGTTTCTTTGGCCGTCGAGTCAGGAGTGGAAATTGAGCCACGCTCTTCGCCCACGGCACTCATCCATCACCGGTACCCACAGTGCCCAGCGGCAGCTGCCACGCAAAGTCACGTGTTGCACACCACTGCTCAGTTGTTGTTGTTGTTGTGGTACGTACGTGTGTGTACGTTGAACTTCTTTCGCACCGTACCGTAGCCAACCGTGCTAATCCGAGGTAACGGGGGAAGGACAACGAGACACGTCTCGACCCCCCCCCCCCTATCCTCCGCCGTCGAGAGGGGATTCTCTCACGTGGCGATATTGTTCGACTCTGCCGATGAGGCCCGGAAGATCGACTCCGGTCCAGGGATTGTGTTTAGCCTTCTTATGTTTCTTCTTCTTCAATTGCTTAAACAAATGCTACTGCTGGATACGATCAACTCGGGAGATTCCCAACTGCCCTCGGCTGTTTACTCGCCCGGCAACAAAGGTAACGCTGGCTGTCTGCCGCTCGCGAGAAATCAGATTAATTGCTTCAGCTTAGAGAGGAACACAAAACAACGTTTAATTATAGGCCGGGACGAACCCAAAACTTGAGTTAAATATCTCTGCCCCCACTACCACCGCCACCACCACTCACCCACCCACCCACCACCACCACCACTCTATAGGAAGATCCAGAGCGGGTTTGATGAGCCGGGGTAGATTTGGAAGGTGAAAGGGGGTTTCACTTCGGGTTTGGGCCACGCGAAAAGTTCCGCGGAAGATGCGAACCCAGAAGAGAGCAGACGACTCTCTTCTCGTGGCTCCACAGCTCGGCTACGACTTCCACGATGTCTCTCTCACACGAGAGTGCAGTTCTGTGAGCTAGAATTATTTTAAAGTTGCAGGTAGGAATGTTATATTTAAATAGGCCACCAACCCTTAGTATTCACCCTGCCACTGATCCTAACCTTACCCCTAACCATTACTAGCCAACCAAACACAACAACTACTAACCCTACCGCTAAACAACTCGTCACCAGCTCACTCGTACAACTAATCGATCTCTCTACTTGTGTGTCTGTCTGTGTCTCCGTGTCTGTGTTTTGTCTCTCTCTCAAATGTAGCATTCTTTGGAAGAACGTTAATCGACCAGGTAGGATGTTGACTGTTGTGTTAGCCGACTCTCTGGGTGGTATTGCATTACATTTCTAAGTTTGCTATGTTTTCTTGGTTCTTTCGGTAAAGTCACGTAGAAGGGAAATAACTAAATAATAAAAATAAAACATAATAAAATTCTCACGACGTTTCGGCCACAACACAAGCAGCCGTGAGAATTTTATTCTATGTTTTATTATTTTATTATTTCCCTTGTACGTAACTTTACCGAAAGAACCAAGAAGATGAATCCCTGCAGTCACGAAAGCTTTAAATCGAAATAAAATCCTAACCAGCTTGTCTCTGCGTTTCTGTGTCTCCGTGTCTGTGTCTCTGTGTGTCTGTGTCTCTGTCTCTGTGTGTCTGTCTCTGTGTCTGTGTCTCCGTGTCTGTGTCTCTGCGTCTGTGTGTCTGTATCTGTGTCTCCGTGTCTGTCTCTGCGCGTGTGTCTCTGTGTTAGTGCAGCGGTTAGCATGCTGCGCTATGAACCCAGCGACACGAGTTCGATTCCCGCTCACGGCCAACACCAGTGACGATTATCTGAACCGGTCCTAGGCCTCCCCTAGGTCGATTCAGCCTCAAATGAGTACCTGGTGAGGTGTGTAAACATTGCCACTGGGGAGACAAAGGCGGTCGGGCGTGATGCTGGCCACCCACCCCCTCGTGTACCGTTCCGGCCTTCATAGGTGCTCGCTAACAGCACTTGCCCCTACAGTCTGTTAAGGCTGGGGGATCTTTGTATCTTTGTCTCTGTGTGTCCGTCTCTGCGTCAATGTGTCTGTCTCTGTGTCTGTCTCTGTGTCTCTGTGTGTCTGTGTCTGTGTCTCTGTGTGTCTGTATCTGTGTCTCTGTGCGTCTGTGTCTGTGAGTCCATGTCTCCCCATGTCTCCGTAGCTGCGTCTCAATGCGTCTGCATGCGTGTCTGCGGTGTCCGCGTGTCTCTTATCCGCGATGTTCCCCCTTGCGTCTCACCATCTTTGTGCTTCTTGCGTTGTTCGTCTTCGATGCCGGGCACTCCGGGGATGCCCAGGAAGGTGTTGTGCGAGAAACTGTACCACACCAGCAGCTCCTGGTCAGGCGGGATGGGCTGCAAATTGAAGAGGAGGAGAAGGTACAGAGAGGGTTACGAATCTATTAGAGGTGGTGCCGTCACCGACTCCGGCTGCTACAGAAAGTCCTTACACTCGCACCGTTCCGTGAGCACACACGTAGTCTTTTTCAATTTTAGTTGTGTTGTCCTACCCCCCTCGCGCCTCCGATTCGCATGGTTGGCTACGTACGGCGCGAAAGAAGTTAAACGTCTCCGACTTACGAACAAAATGAGTTCATGTTGCCCGTTCGTAAGTCGAGCGGTTCGTAAGTCGGAACACAGTAATGTATTGTATTTAAATGCCCCCAACACACACACACGCAAGCGCTCACTCCCAGCGGGAAGGCTGACTCTTCACATCTCGTGGAGGATCGGCTCAGCCGAGCGAAAATAGTCTCGCGGTTCAATTTGCAAATGAGAGTTTCGCGTTTTAAGTCAATGGTATATTTATAAAATCAGCGCGGTGTTCGTAAGTCGAAGACCACCTGTACATACACACACCAGCTACATTGTCTCTCGCACTGGCTACCAGTCAAGTTTCGAGTGGACTATGACATGCTGCTGCTGCTGCTACTGCCGATCTACAAGGCTGTTGAGTGGCTTCGCCCCGACATATCGACAGGAACTGATGATCCTTGTCGACTCTGAGATGTTCGGATAGCCTTGTTCTCGAAGGATTCCGAGGTCAAGGCTCTGCATGGGGTTGTTTGCCACCGTGCACCTCCGAGACCATGGAACGCTTAGCTAATAATTCACTGGTCAACACACTTTTTCTGGCATAAGGTATTCCAACGGTTTAAATGTAATTTTGGGGTGCTGATTCCAAATCTGGCATCAGTTTTTGTCTATCACATTAGGTTTTTGAGATATCAAATATTGCATTTTCAATAAAAACTGCAGAAGAAAAATATTATATAAATGTGGATATCTACATAAAATGAAATTATCAACACACTATCCTAAAAATACAGCACCATATTTTAACACTAAAGCAGTCACTGACTCGCAACAACTTGCAATCATAAGTGACAGAGTTAATTTCGGGTAAAATCAATGAAAATGTGGAATGCCTATAGCATAAAAATGAGATGTGATGGAGCAAATCTGAGATCAGATTTGGAATCAGCACCCTGAAATTAGTCTAAAACAGCTGCAAAAGTCCAGGCCAGAATTTTTTGTTTTTGTTGACCAGGTATATTGTTTAGGTCCTGTCTTGAAATTCTGTGTATTTCCTGGCTTTCCATACACAGTGGTCCATTAGGATCTGCGGATGAAATGAGCCGCTTTACACATGTACATTGTATTATTATTGTTATTGTAAGATAGGAATGGTCTAATGGTCTGATCGGCTAGCTGTCCGTTCACGGAGGTTTTGACGTGAGGTTGAAGGTTTGCTTTGGTGAACTAAGTCACTCCTGTAAACGAATACTCATCCTGGTCGCTGTGAATTTCTCAGCTGGTTAAGTAAAGTAAAAATTGTAGCTTGAACTTACCTAATCACTCACTCGCCAACTCACTCATTCACTCACTCACCCATCCACTATTAATTCACCCACCCAGATACCCACTCATTCACCCACCCACTCACTCACGCACATAGCCACGAATTCACCAACTCATTCATTCACTCACTCATCCACTAATTAATTCACCCACCCAGATACCCACTCATTCACCCACCCACTCACTCACGCACATAGCCACGAATTCACCAACTCATTCATTCACTCACTCATCCACTAATTAATTCACCCACCCAGATACCCACTCATTCACCCACCCACTCACTCACGCACATAGCCACGAATTCACCAACTCATTCATTCACTCACTCATCCACTAATTAATTCACCCACCCAGATACCCACTCATTCACCCACCAACTCACTCATGCACATACTCACCCACGAATTCACCAACTCATGCATTCACTCACTCACCCATCCACTAATCAATTTACCCACCCAGCTACCCACTCATTCACCCACTCACTCACGCACATACTCTCCCACGAATTCACCAACTCATTCATTCACTCATTCATCCATTCACTAATCAATTCACCCACATAGCTACCCACTCATTCACCCATTCACTCACTCACGCACATACTCTCCCACAAATTCACCCACTCATTCATTCACTCACCCACCCATTCACTCACTCACCCACTTATTTTACCCACTCATCCATTCACTCAATCATCTCTCTCCATCATCCGTCTTCATAATCTCTCTCAATCTCTCTCCATCATCATCATCTCTCTCTGTCATCTCTCTCCGTCATCATCATCTCTCTCCATCATCATCTATCTGCATCTCTATCTATTTCTCTCCATCTCTCAACCATCATCTCTCTCCGTCATCTCTCCATCTCTCTCCATCATCCCTCTTCATAATCTCTCTGCATCATCTTTCTCAATCCATCTAAATCTCTATCTCTCTCCATCTATCCATCATCATCTATCTCCATCATCTCTCAATCTCTCTTCATCTCTCCATCATCATCATCTCTCTCCATCATCATCTCTCCATCTCTCAACCATCATCTCTCTCCGTCATCTCTCCGTCATCATCTCTCAACCATCATCTCTCCATCATCATCACCTCTCTCTATTTCTCTCCATCTCTCAACCATCATCTCTCTCAACCATCATTTCTCTCCGTCATCATCTCTCTCCATCATCATCTCTCTCCATCATCATCTCTCCGTCATCATCTCTCCGTCATCATCTCTCCCCGTCACTCTCCTCCGCCTCTGCGCCCACCTCCAGGGCCTTGTAGTAGATGCTGTTGCCGATCTGCACCACCTCCAGGTTCTGCTCCTGCTCGTTACGCGCACAACGGATGTAAGTCATCCAGCTGCGGTGGTTGTCCTGGCTCGCGTCCACAAAGTGACGCACCGTGCCATCCTCGTTGAACACCTGGCGAGGACATCGTCATCATCGCGAGTTATGATGGTCATCATCAACATGATCATCATCTACCAGTCGTGATCATCATAAGCGATCGTCAGCCACGATCGTCATCATCGACGGCCATGATGATGATCATCATCTTGTGATCATCATCATCATCATCCATGATGGTCATCATCAGCCATGGTTATCATCATCGTGATTGTCAGGTATGATGATAATCGTCATTCGCACTTCATCATCATCATCATCAATCAGCCACGCTCGATCCACTGCTGGACGAAGCCCCCCGCCCCCCCTCCCCCCCAAGCGATTTCTATTTGGAACAACCTCAGCCAGGTGCACATCACCCTGCGTCAGAGTAAGTCCCCCGGAAGTTGTCACTGCAGAACTGCCGCCGTAATCGTAATTTACATTTGTGAGGCGCATTTCATCCGCAGATCCCACCAGGCAGGAAATAAACAGACCCTGCAGGGCGGACGGTCAGAACCGGGGGGTGGGGGTGGGGTGGTGGTAAAGGAACAATTTAAAGAGGTGAGATTTTTAGAGACGGGACCTAACGAGCCTTGCGAGCGTTCGTTTCTGGAGTCTGGGAGCTGCGATGTGCAGGCAAAAAAAACCATCCCGATCACCCCAGAAAATGAACCTTGACCTGCGAGTACTCAGAATCTGAATATGTAGTTAGACTGGAGGAGGAAATCCGATGAGCTATGAAGCTCTTTTTTTACAGATGTCCGGTAGGGGCGGGTCAGAAAGTTACAGCAACAACAACAATACACAGTAGACAACGCGATAGGAGTGCAAAGTATAGGAAAGTTAAGCAAATAAAATTATATAATTTTTTTAATTAATTTTATTTTACCAGTAAAGGCCCCCTGAGCTATCAGATTTTTTTTTTCAGAAGCGATCTGACCACAGATGATAGCTCAACGAAGTGGCTTAAATATCACGTGGAAATTTATAGCAACCAAATAATCAAAATAATCTAAAGACATCTATCATTAGAAGAAGACGATCCGAAGATATCGGGGGGCCTTGTTGGAGAGTAAACGTGGAAGCGATTCTTGAGATGTTAACTACCTCGCCTGGTCTACAGGAGGTCGTGGGTTCGATCCCGACCCTGAAGCCTGCTGCTGTATATTTGGAGTTTGCGTGTCTCTCTGATCATCATCATCCCGGTGGCTAGAAGATGTTAACTACCTCGCCTGGTCTACAGGAGGTCGTAGGTTCGATCCCGACCCTGACGCCTGCTGCTGTATATTTGGACTTTGTCGAAGTCTCTCTCCCCGTGGTCCCGTTTTTCCAGGTCATCCCGTTTTCCCCTCTACACTTAGAAACACGCGATCAGAGTCTTCGGCTGCTATAAATGTCCACACGATGTTAAGAGACTTTGTTGGAGCTCTCATCTGTGGCCAGGGTCGCTTCTGAACAAAAAGAAAGCTACATAACTGAGTAAAACCTTAACCTGGTTAAAAAAACAAAACTAAGTTTAGTTTATAATTTATCTCAGCCACCCGTAGCAATGCCCCGGTTTCACGGCTCCATCTGGGCACTCGAGCGAACTAACCTCCCACATGAGGTTGTTGTTCTTGAAGATGTCTACACCGTCCGGGGGAATCATCTTGCCCGTGAAAGGTCCCATCTCGGTCCCCTGCTTGATCCAGGTCCTCGTGTAGATGCCCAGGTCTTCCCCGGGCACGGAGCTTGGCGCCACCGTGAGCTCGGCAGGAAGAGCCAAACTCGACATCTTGTCCAGCTTGGCCAAAGTGGCGACTCCTGCGTGACCAACAACAACAACATCAACAACAACAGCAGCAAACATCACCACGGCGCTTGTGCCACGGTAGGTGCACTGAACGGTCCTTCCCCGCACCTCCGATGGGCACGGTTGGCTACGTACGGCGCGAAAGAAGTTCAAGAGACATGCATACTACGTGAGCAGACCAGACAAGATCCCCCATGCAGTCCCAACAGGCTGTTGAGGCAAGTGCTGTGAGCGAGAAGCGCCTGTGAGAGAAGGCAAGGCTTCAGGCCCACAAGTCTGTAGAGGCTATACCGGGGGGAGGGGGGTCTTTGTCTTTGTTATCCCTGCGTGTCCACGTGTGTGTCTGCGTGTGCGTATGGATGGTGATGACGATGATGACGACAACGATGATGGTGATGATGACGACGATGATGATGATGACGACGATGATGATGACGATGATGGTGATGATAACGACGATGATGGTGATGATGATGACGAAGATGATGATGATGGTGATGATGACGATGATGATGATGATGACGACGATGATGACGATGAGGGTGATGATGACGACGATGATGGTGATGATGATGACGACGACGACGACGATAATGACGACGATGATGACGACGATGGTAATGATGATGACGATGATGGTGATGATGACGACGATGATGATGATGACGACGACGATGATGACGACGATGGTAATGATGATGACGATGATGGTGATAATGACAAAGATGATGGTGATGATGACGATGATGACGACGATGATGGTGATGATGAAGATGGTGATGATGGTGATGATGAAGATGATGATGACAATGATGACGATGAAAGTGCAATCGGCGAGTCTCTCTGTCTCGCGGTCTATACACCCTGTAACCTCACTCCGATCCCATGCGCCTGTCACCCCCCCCCCCCACCCCGGTGCGTCACTAACCCTCAATGAAATCGTAATGCGCTTTAATGAGCCGAGACCGTACGATCCACTCTCAGACTCACACATTCACACAGTCTCACACACACTCACACACTCTCACACATTTACACAGTCTCACACACACTCACACACTCTCACACACTCACACAGTCACACACTCACACACACTCTCACACTGACACAGTCTCACACACACACTCACACACTCACTCACACACTCACACACTCTCACACACACTCACACAGTCTCACACTCACACAGTCTCACACACACACACTCACACAGTCTCACACACACACACTCTCACACTCACACAGTCTCACACACTCTCACACACACACTCACACACTCTCACACACTCACACACACTCTCACACTCACACACTCACACACACTCACACACACACTCACACACACACTCACTCACACACACACTCACTCTCATACTCTCACACTCTCACACACACAGTCTCACACTCTCACACACACACACTCTCAAACACACTCACACACACTCACACAGTCTCACACACACTCACACACACACTCTCACACTCACACAGTCTCACACACACACTCTCACACTCACACAGTCTCACTCACACACTCACACAGTCTCACACACTCACTCTCACACTCACACACTCACACATTCACACACTCTCACACACTCACTCTCACACACACACACTCTCACACACACACACTCTCACACACACACACTCTCACACACACACTCTCACACACACTCTCACACACACTCTCACTCTCACACACACTCTCACACACTCTCACTCACACACTTACACACACACTCACACACACACTCACACACTCGCTCGCAACTCTCGCACGCCGAGCGAGTGAGAACGCGGCCGCCCGGGATAATCGCTTTCGGACCACACGGCTGAGCATTCACATCAGCGCCAAGCAGCGCTCAAACGACGGCATTTAAATCCCATTTCATACCTCAAACTCTCCGCCCGTACCCTCCCCCCAACTTCTCTTGTCCCCCTCCTACCCCAACTTTTTTTTCTTTATTTTTAAAGCCCACGTTTTTGTTACAGAAAAGAGCTGCACGCTTTCTCGTCACGAATTAATGCCTATAAATTCACACGGTGCACGCACTCGCCACGTATTGCCTAGAGGAATGCGACCGCCATTCATCATTCCGGCGGGGGGTTAGTGGGGCTTTAAATTATAGATACAAAGGTAACCCGGATAGGCTAACACAAGCTGCTGGGGCAAGTGCCCGTTAGCAGGCGGCTATGAACGGCGCACAATAGGGGGGTTGCGGTGGCGTGGTCAGTATCAAGCCCGGCCGTCTTTGTCTCTCTCATAAAAGTCCTGATTTTGTTTTGTTTTGTACTGATTTAAGGCTGAGTCGACCTACAGCGGGGATGCCCAGGAGAGAGAAACGCAGAAACTCACACGCGGGTCGCAGAACAAATCCCAAGGTGAGTTTATCTTCGGCGCAGAGGTAGGCGGGGGGGTGTAGGTTGTTGTAATGTCATCAAAGCTGTCAAACCCCTTGGTCAGTGCCCGACATCATTACAGACCGAATCAGACCTTACTGGTCACCCCGTGCCCCTACAGAGTGCCATCACAAGGGAGAGAAACACAAACACATTGTTGTTGTTGTTGCCCGCATTGAAACGGATGTACGCCGTGTGGACCTGACAACTCAACTTCTGTTGCTGGGTGCTCTGATTGTTGATGGGGCTGCTGTTGCTAGGGCTGCTGGTGATGGGGCTGCTGTTGCTAGGGGCTGCTGTTGCTAGGACTGCTGTTGCTGGGGCTGCTGTTGCTAGGCCTGCTGTTGCTAGGGCTGCTGTTGCTAGGGATTGCTGTTGCTGGGACTGCTGTTGCTAGAACTGCTGTTGCTGGGGCTGCTGTTGCTAGGACTGCTGTTGCTAGGGCTGTTGTTGCTGGGGCTGCTGTTGCTAAGGCTGCTGTTGCTAGGAGTGCTGTTGCTAGGGCTGCTGTTGCTAAGACTGCTGTTGCTAGGCCTGCTGTTGCTAGGCCTGCTGTTGCTAGGACTGCTGTTGCTATAACTGCTGTTGCTAGGGCTGCTGTTGCTAGGGCTGCTGTTGCTAGGGCTGCTGTTGCTAGGGCTGCTGTTGCTGACTGCTGTTGCTAGGACTGCTATTGCTAGGGCTGCTGTTGCTAGGACTGCTGTTGCTAGGACTGCTGTTGCTAGGACTGCTGTTGCTAGGCCTGCTGTTGCTAGGGCTGCTGTTGCTAGGGATTGCTGTTGCTGGGACTGCTGTTGCTAGAACTGCTGTTGCTGGGGCTGCTGTTGCTAGGACTGCTGTTGCTGGGGCTGCTGTTGCTAGGACTGCTGTTGCTGGGGCTGCTGTTGCTAGGACTGCTGTTGCTAGGGATTGCTGTTGCTGGGACTGCTGTTGCTAGAACTGCTGTTGCTGGGGCTGCTGTTGCTAGGACTGCTGTTACTGGGGCTGCTGTTGCTAGGAGTGCTGTTGCTAGGACTGCTGTTGCTAGGACTGCTGTTGCTAGGACTGCTGTTGCTAGGACTGCTGATGCTAGGGCTGCTGTTGCTAGGACTGCTGTTGCTAGGCCTGCTGTTGATAGGGCTGCTATTGCTGGGGCTGCTATTGCTAGGGACTGCTGTTGCTAGGGACTGCTGTTGCTAGGGCTGCTGTTGCTAGGACTGCTGTTGCTGGGGCTGCTGTTGCTAGGGACTGCTGTTGCTAGGACTGCTGTTGCTCGGACTGATGTTGCTGGGGCTGCTGTTGCTAGGACTGCTGTTGCTAGGGCTGCTGTTGCTAGGACTGCTGTTGCTAGGGCTGCTGTTGCTGGGGCTGCAGTTGCTAAGACTGCTGTTGCTAGGGCTGCTGTTGCTAGGAACTGCTGTTGCTAGGGACTGCTGTTGCTGGGGCTGCTGTTGCTAGGACTGCTGTTGCTAGGGCTGCTGTTGCTAGGGCTGCTGTTGCTGTTCCTCCCTCTCGCTACTTTTCCCACGAACTGCTGCTGATACGCCTGCCACAGCGCGTTACGGCAAGAAAATAAAATGCGTGTGTGTCCATGTGTGTGTGTGTGAGTGTGCAAGTATGAGTGTGTGCAAGTGTGTGTGTGTGTGTGCAAGTGTGTGTGCAAGTGTGTGTGTGAGTGCGTAAGTGACGGTGTGAAAATGTGAGCGCGCGCGTGTGTGTGCAATTGTGTGTGCGTGCAAGTGTGTTTGTGTGTGTGCACGCCTTCACACACACACACGCAAGTGACCGTGTGTGTCTCAGTCAGTGTGTGAGAGCGTGGCGAGCGCGTTAGAATGAGCGTGCGACTCAGTGAGTGCGAGCGAGGAGCGGTGGTGCAGCGGTTAGCGCGCTGCGCTACGAACCCGGCGACCCAAATTCGTTCCCCGCTCGCGGCCACCACCACCAGTGACGATTATCTGAACATCGCCGCTGGGGAGACAAAGGCGGCCGGGCGTGTCTCTGGCCACCCCACCCCCTCGTGTGCCGTGCCGGCCTTCAAAGGTTCCACTCGCACACAGCACTTGCCCCAACAGTCTGTCAAAGGCTACACGGGGGATCTTTGTATTCGTCTTTGGAGTGCGGAGAGATCGATTGGGGAGGCCTTCATCCAGCAGGGGATTGGCCATGGCTGTTGATGATGATGATCAATCGGTTTAAAAAAATTAGCTCTCAGCCGGTTAAATACGGGACAATTGTACTGGCATTACGCCTAGATGATTAACAATGGTTGAAATGTAAAATGCGGCATGATGCAATCGACTTTACACCTCTATCAACATTAGTTAATTGAAGTATAGTAAACATCTCACGCAGACAAAGATCCCCCGCGTAGCCTTTCACAGACTTTGGGGCAAGTGCTGTAGGACCTATTAACGGCACACGAGAGAGAGAGAGGATGGCGTGGGCCAACACCACGCCCGACCGCCTTTGTCTCTCCAGCGGCGATATTTACCACACACCCTGTACCACGTACAAATTTGAGGCTGAGTCGACCTAGGGGAGGCTCGGGACCCGTTTAGAGACTCGTCACTGGTGCTGGCCGTGAGCGGGAATCGAACTCGGGTCGCCGGGTTCGTAGCACGGCGCGCT